GGGGGGTGGTGGTGAGGGTGGGAGTACGCTGAGGAGAACAAGCAACTTTGGGACCTTTCGGATCCAGGTGAACCTCTCCCATGATTGTTCTGGTCCTGGAAAGACATTAGCTTTTCTCAGACCATCGACAGACCCTCGACTGGCAGTCTGATCACTGCCACCAACCCTTGGTGGGATTGAAGGAAAACATTTCGCTGCCTTAATTCTTCTGTTTGGAAGATAAGGAGAACCTCCTTCTTCTCCCAAGGATTGTTGCCCAGCCCAGCCCAGCCCAGCCCAACCAAGACTGCTTTTTAAAATTCTCAAATGCTGATCATTACTCAAGCAGCATGGAAAGGAAGCAAGAAAGACTTTTTGACGAACACACCATTGATTGTCTCAGAATTTAAAAACAAAAAAAAGATTACACCCCAGAAAGAAATACAGAAGGACCTCAGATGTTCTTTGACCAACGACGGAGATCCAAGGAAGATTGGGAATACCCAAAAGATCTCAATGGCACTTTTTCCTATACAGCTCCAGATGTATATACATATATTTTCCCAGCAGACTGAATGTGTTAAACTGGAGCAATTGCCGTTTGTGGCCAGCTCCACTTATTTATCTCAAATAATTTCTTCTAGTTAAACAGGCTGCGCAGGTTTCATGAATGCTTTCAAAAACCTGCAAAACCCGATGGAGCAATTGCAAAATAGAAGTGTGTTTTTCCTGGTCTCTGCAACACTGACACAAATTCTCACTATTCCCTGTCTTCTTTGTACACATGCGACAAAGTTTGTCTTTGCCTCCCCAGAACCTAGGAGCCACCCACAACCAGTTCTGGCCCCACAGAAGAGGCAGGTTTCCAAAACGATTGAAGCCCTGCCCGGCTCTGCAGGCGAGATGGGCAGGTCCCACAGGCTGACCCTGCTTCCTGCTTCTGTTTCTGCCTGCGACTCTGGCAGAAGGAGCTTGCTCCTGGATATTTGGCTTTTCGTAAAGAGTTCAGGAAAAGGCATATGGGAAAGGCTGCCGACCAGGGGAACTGGGAGAAAGGGAAGATACGAAAATCACCCATTGCTACATGTATGGTGGTGGAGCGAAGCTTTATGCAGCTTCCACTCCTGTTAAGTCTTCCAATGTCTTAATATGGATCCACATGCTAGTTATGCCTGCAAGCTAAGCAAGTAAAAAACGAGACCAAAGCAACAGCGCTACGAACTGTGCTTTCCAGAGGACACCCCCCCACCTCCCTCACCCCCCCTGCACAGCTTCCCCCCAGCCCAGTGCCTACCCTGGGCCCTGCCCAAATCAATTCTAGCATTTTCCCCCCTCCAGCCACCCCATCCCGGGCTACCTCCTCTTCGGCATTCATTGCATGGCAAGAACATTTCCTTGGATCGGTATTGCTCAGGGAAGAGAGTTTTGACACATTCCAGAATTATACATGAGACAGAAAGAGGGGGGTGGGGGAAGGAAGGAAGGAAGGAAGGAAGGAAGGAAGGAAGGAAGGAAGGAAGGAAGGCAGGCTCATTTATCATGAAGAATATAGGTTAAAACAGTTCCGAGATATTTCATCAATCCTTCTCGACTGAGCTGATGCTGTCACCAGCTATCCAATATTTCCCTCTTTGACCTGTAGCCTGCAGAGGTTATATTTGGGGTGGGGGGGAGGGGGAAGGGCATCGCACGGCTGACTGTGTTTGTCCCACAATATCAGGAACTGGGTCCAAGTCCCCTCTTATCTTTCCGCCTTCACCTTGTACTTGAGGGTGAGGTAAGCCAGAAGGCGGATAATGACAAAGAAAACCCCTAAGATTGCAAAATCGAGGTACAGCTTGGCTTCTTCCACATCCAACTCCTTCAGGATCTTGTCGGGATCCTTGAACGGGCAATCACTCTCTTTGCACTCCAGATTTTCACGATCCAGGGAGTAGATGGTGAGGATGATGCCTTCAAAGCCATATCTGAACCAGAGCAAAGCAGAGAGTGCAATCAGAGCTACAGAGTAATCGGAACAGTCCTTTAAAAAGGTGACTGGAACTTTTAGTACAGGGTTTCTCAACCTCATCAACTTTAAGATGTGTGGACTTCAACTCCCAGAATTCTGGGAGTTGAAGTCCACACATC